GTGTGTGTGTGTGTGTGTGTGTGTGTGTGTGTGTGTGTGTGTGTGTGTGTGTGTGTGTGTGTGTTTGTTTTCTTCATCACGGGAACCATTTTTCAGAAAAAGGCAGCCTCATGGGGACCAATGTCGGTCCCCACAGGTACGGATGCTAATTTTGAGTGGGAAGTTAGGTTTAGGACTAAGGTGTGAATTGAGTTTAGGTTAGTTCCAGGGTCAATTACCTGTGCGATTAATTTTAGGGTAAATGGTCAGGGTTAGGATATAAAATAGCAGAAAATGAATGGAAGTCAATCCACAGTCCCCACGGGGATATAAAAACAAACCTGTGTGTGTGCTGGAGGTATGGTGCAGAAGATTTATGTACTCACCTTCTGACAATGTTAAGCAAGAGATTCCACTTCAAAATCCTCTCAGAAAACTGACATTTTTCTCTCTCTTTTTTTCCCTTTCGCTCAGACCCACATGTTTTATTTTTACAGTTTCTTGAGGAGTGGTATTTGGGATCAGGTTACCTTTTCAGATGGGTTTGACCATGAAGATGCCAGTCAGGCAGGAGAAGCAGCAGCTCAGATCTGAAAGCTTAAAGCTAACAGAAGGACGGGCCTGTTTTGTTTGAAGATTTTGCCTTTTGGTGCATCACTTTTGTTTTAATTCCCTCTGGTTTACTGTAGGCATCTTTCCAAAGTTCAAAAGTCATCTTTTTCTTTTTTTTAAGAACACATATAGTGACAGACATGCCTTCTGTGCTGCGGTTGGGTTTTCCCCCAGCATGTTCTAATTACAAATGTTTCAGGATCTTTTCAAGAGATGCAGCACGGGGCAGCGAGGAGTTGTTCCATAATTAGCTGCGGGATTGAGCCTGTAAATCTTCCTCTTTGGTGAAAAGCAATGAAGTGCAGGCAAAGGGCTGTTTAATCAGCTGTCTTATGTTGTGCCTCGGGCTTCAGAGACGAAAATTCTAATAAGATACATAAATATGAAATTAACTGAGCAAGAAATTGTAAACAGCAGCTGGCAGCTTTGGATCTTCAGAAGCTGAAGGAAAGATGAAAACAAAAACATCAGGGTTTGATTCACAACTAGGTGTTAAAATCTGTCTTTTCACTCAAAAAACAGATATCGTGTGATGCAATTTACAAATGAGGACAACAGTTATTACAACCAAGTTGTTTTCGACAGCTGCATTCCTAAGTGACGGTGAAAAGAAAGGGAGTAAACTGTAATAATTGTAATGATAAGTTAATGTCACATGACTTCATTGAGAATAATAGTGGTTTCTTGCGTCCTGGCAGCGTGAAGCAGCATGCGTGACAAACAAAAAGCCAAAAACCGTCCAAGAAATCAAACGTAAATATAACCTTTTTCACAACAACACAGCAAATGGTAAGTGTTTAATAACCTGCATTTACTCTGCAGCCTAGCATCAAACAATGACAAACTGGATTCTGTAACATGAAGCCTTGTTCAGGTTTGGTGCTTTGCATGCTTTAGACGCGTGTTAACCAAGTTCATGTTCAGCCAAGAGGCTGCATGCACGGCTGCAGAACAGACTCGTGCTGGAGTTACAGTGGTGTCAGCCCCACGCTGCTACTGCGTCTCTGTTAGCTCACCTCTCTGCCTCTCTGTCCTTCCAAACGTGTTTATATCTGTGTTTCTGCTGGCATTTGTCTCATTCCTCTGCCTGTCACTTTATCTCTGTTCAGACCTGGCACTAACATTCATCTGGAGTGATTGGATTGCATCTGGTTAGAGCTAAACACAGGTCAGAATAGCCTCAATGTGCATGGAAGACACTCAGATCACATCTGGAGGTGGTCTGGATCTTTTTATATACATACGTGGGGTAGTCTGAACATAATCCATCTGCAACCAAATACTGACTTGATATGAATCCGCACAAGCAGCAGAGTTATTACCTGGATGTCTCTCATTTAAAAGGAAAATATAAGTCCTAATGAGTTGACTGAATGAGTTTCTGATTTGAAAGAAATGAGATGCATCTTAATACCAGTTACTGTATACCTAGAGCTTGTCCACATGGAAAAACAGTTTCCATCCATCCATCCATCCATCCATCCATCCATCCATCCATCCATCCATCCATCCATCCATCCATCCATCCATCCATCCATCCATCCATCCATCCATC